ATATATATATATATATATTTTATTTTTATACAACATTTTCTCTCAAATTGAGCTCGAGCCTTATAGTACTTTGGCAAGCCGAGCTCAAGCCTCATACTATTTGGCTCGGCTCGGCTCGGCTCGAATCCATTCCTACCTTTTTTCTATTTAAAACTCGATGTTCATAGGGGTATTTTAAATGAAAAAAGGAGATAAGTCCTTAAAATAAGGAATGCCAAATGCAACCTAAAACTCCTTATTTAGTTTTAATTTACAACTCATTGTACATGTCTTATTTGTAACACATCGTGATTCATAGACCAGCACCTTTGGTAAACTATTTGAAGGGCTGATGATCATGGAACTAACTAATCCCTAAACTTTCAAATATTCTATTTGGAGAGCAACCTTATAGGGAATGTTGGATGTGCTTATCTACTTATCTGCACCCCAAGAAAAAAGATTATAGTGGAATTATTTTTACTGATATAGTGATGATATAAAGACACCATTATTTGCTATCAGCTTCTCAATCTATGGAGAACCTCCATTAACCCTTGGTCTATATAACAAAACTGTTCTCCCGTTTTTCTGTTGAATGGGCCTCGCATTTTCTTCGTAACCCTGAGCAAGAAACCAAAATGATCAAATTTGAATGAACAAATAACTAAATATACATATAAAAAGAGAAAATCAACAATAAATTTCTATGGCACTAGTACTGTGAAATGTACCTAGAGCCATAAATGTTGTTTTGCACCTAGATGTTTGTAATATTTATCTAGGTAAATTTCTGAAACCTCCTCTCAAATTTGGTAATTGCAATAAACTCTACTTAATTTTTAACACAGTTGCAAGTATACTTAAGGTTCAAAATTTTGATACGATATCCTTTGTATCGGCGTATCGTATCGTACCAGTGGATTCACAATACGTCTATTTAAAGGTGTTTTGGGAATCATTCTTTTTTTAATAAAAAAATATGGTTAAAAATATGCTCAAATACCAAATTTTGAAAAAAAACTAAAAGAAAATATAAAAGCACGTTAATTTTTTAAGTACTAATATGCCCCTCCCGATACACATGGGCATATTGATATTTTGAACCTTGAGTAGACTCTCTCTGTTAAAATCCTCTAACAGGAGGCACAAAAATGTCCAAAATACCCAAAACACAGTTGCAGCTCTACATTGAAAAACAAATCAATTTTGGAAAAAGAGATTGGAAGTGTTTGGGGCAACTATTGATATGAAGAGAAAATTTGAAAAATAAACATATTCGCTAAAAGTAATTGCATGGTATTTGGACATTTTCATGCCTCTTATTAGAATATTCTAACAGAAAGGATCTACTTGCAATTGTGTTAGAAAGTACAAAGGAGGTGATTGCCATTAGTAAAATTTTAGGGGAGGTTTCAGCAAAGGTCAGAAACTTCACAGGAGGTTTCAATTCATCAGTTTACCCTATTAATTTTGTAATTTTGTAAATGTTTGATGAGCAACATTACAAATTTACAATGTTCATTGTGCAACATTGGTACCATAAATCTTCTCTCTCTTTTTTTTTTTTTTTCTTTTTGAGAACAAGTTTAATATCATTAGAAGAGGGAAAATAAAAAGCATGTACAACAAGATGCAGTACACAGGATTTACAAAACACTGCCCATGCAAACCTATACCCCCCAACCCTGCTTTACAAAAAGATATTCTCATGTACAAAAAAGTGAGAATTGCTCTCATCATTATCATCATCCAAGCCTTATCCCAACTATATGGGGTTGTTAATATGAATGTTTCGGCAATCTGTTCCTTTTAATGCCAAATCCATTGGGCACTTAAATTATTTATAACTGCTTCAACCCATGTCCTTTCTAGTCTACCCCAAACCCTTCTAACCCCTTGGACTTGCAACAGATCGCTTCTTCTTACCGGAATTGTTGGTGGTCTCTATGCATGCGAGCAAACCATTTTAGTCTACTTTCTTTCATTTGTAAGAGAGTTGCTCTAATACAGTAATTTGCTCCTTATAAATTCCAAAATTAGTTTTGAAATCTCATTTGTCAGGTTCATGTTGTTTCAATACTTTTATCACAAAGATTACTAATCAGTGCTGGGAACTTTTCGGTGCCCATACATCTCCACATGATGCATGAGTGCATGACTTAATCCTTACTACCCTGCTATCTATCTTTTGTGGGCTTTCAGAAACTTACATCATCAACAGCATCCCTTAAAGCCCTCACTTGCTCCCTTGAAACTGTTCTCACCTACAAATTAAGTGACTCAAGGTTTTTTAGTGGACTGTGATGGATGTTTCTGAAATCATAAGAAAAAGTTTGAAGGCATCAATACCTTCTTTTCTATGGTCCAGATGACTCCCTCTGTGCATGGGGGAACTGTGAGAGAGCCCATATATCTATAATATTTTCTGCTCCCAAACTTTATATCACCAGGATTTATAATCCCCAGATCTTTCTCTTCTGATCCAACTGAACCAATGGAAGCAATAATCTGCAAGTAAAAAACATAACATGTGAGGAAAAACACCTAACAATATCCAACATGTCTAGATGCATGGTGAATTTGACTTGACATGAACCAGTGGATGACTAACCACAACCAGGTATAGAACATAACCAAGTTGGGTGTTTCCACTTGGTTGATTCTTGACTGCTTCTGTTAGTACCAATCTGCTCCAATCTTCTAATAGACAGACCCAAAATGGAACCAGACCTCAATTTCTTCAATCTTAATTGAGCAGAACTGATAAGGCCAATGGCTCATTGGTAGCCTTCTGTAGTTTTTGTTTGTAAGAAAAGAATTTCCATGTCAACCAAGTATGCAATCTGACTCTTTCTGTAGTCTGTGCCTGTACTTATGTATGCATACAAGGAAGCAAATAAATTAAGAAAATCTCAACACACTACCTTGTCCAGGAAATGATCATGCCTGCCATATTTGTAGGTAATTCCAATAACAGCAATCCCTCCACAAGAATTTATATGAACCATGTGAAGCTCCAGCTTGTATCTGCAAAAGAAAATGAAAAATGGAGAGAACTATGTCACATGTTTCCTTTAGTGGAAAGCAAAAGTAGTAAACAAAATTACAAAAAACAAAAAGAATCTTATTTTCTTTTAGTAAACCAAACAAAATCTTCAGTGGAATTGGTTTAACTTGATAGATACTTCAACTAAAGAAATCAACCTTGAACCATTGAAAGTATGTTCAGAAGGTGAATGCCAGTGACACTGCTTTAGGCTGTAATTAATCCCATTTATATTGATCTTTCCTGCATCTCCTTTCCATTCAATCTGATCATAAGAAATTGCTCATTATTTCGATACTATCAATTGAAAAGAAAAGCTCACAAACATACACAGACAAACACACTCTTTGGTGCATTGACGGATGAGAACATGCATTGATTAGATGGAAGAGATTGCATTACTGCAATTATTAAGTCTGAGAGTGAAGACGAAGTGAACAAATAAGAACTTTTACCTACCATAATGTCGTGCCCCCTATTCTTCGCTGCAGCAGGGGCTGGTTGGTAATCCCTCTTCAATCTTCCTAAACCAGAAAAAACTTGCACTCTCTCGTGGAGAAGATCAATAGGAGATTGCATTTCTCCTTTTTTACAAATTTTCCAATCTGATTGGATATCGCCCCAATGCTCTGGCCCTCTCTCACTTCCTTCCTTATAAGTAAACTCGTGCTCATCCTCTGTAATATTTTTAGTCATTCATTAAAAATGTTGAATAACATAATCGAAGAAAGAAAAAAGTTAGATGGAAACAGCATGAAATAGAAAAAATGGATCAAGAGTGAAATGGCTGTTCATCTGATCTTGATTTCAGAGGTTATAAACAGCCTAAATGGATAAGAACGAATTGGGTTCAGATGTGAGCACATTTCAGATGGGTATTTGATGAGAATAAAAGAAGAAACAGAGAATGCTATCGATCAGAAAAGCAACAGAAAATTCTAGCTACCCCAGATGAGTAGACAAATCAAATCACAGGAAACGCATACTGGAACAAGGAAAGAATAACAGAAAAAGGTAACATCGGGTAGCTTTTAAGGAATGAAATGAATTGCAGACCAAAGCTCGAATGAAATGCAAAACTACACCACAACCCCTTGAGTGAAAATAAAAACAGAATTATCTAAACAATCATTATACCAGTTTGAACAAAGCATATGTTCTCTGAGAAACAATATGAGCTGAAAATGGCACAGAACAAGATTTTCCGTTTAAGATGATGCTTGTGACTTACCCTGTTCAGTTGCAGAAGCTCTGCAAATGGTTGAAAGGGATGAAAGAAGGAGACAAGTGAGGAGGGCAAAGAGAAAGTTAGTTTTGTTTAACATGGCTTAGCTTTTGATTTCCTGTCTGTTTTGAGAGGTAGTAGTGAGAGTGTCGAGAAGAGCGACAGAGCGTCTGATTTATAGGAGCGGAAAGGATGTCTTGATTTGGTACTTTCTTTCCATCATTTGGCTGTGGTCCGAAGTGATAGAATTACTAAAATAACCCTAACATATAAAATTGGAAGAGAAAAATACTAAAATATTCTTAAAAATTGTATATTACACTCCTAACTGAGCTAACTCCTAAGAAAACGGTTTCTAGTTTGGTCAAGTGGCAGGCAATATTTAAAAAAAAAACGAATTTTGGGTATTTCAATTTAAATAAAATGCCATGTAAGTTTAATAATGACCAATATAAATACGGTTAAATATTGAAATATTTTCACATTTTTTTAATTATATTGGAAATGAAAACAGATAATTTTCTATTTTCAGGTATTTTTATTATATCAAAATAAACAATAAATATAGTGAATAAATTAATATTTTATTTATGTTTAATCTATTTTATATTTTCCCATTTTCTCACACTACTTTTCTTTTTCTTTTTGTTTTTCTTTTATGGTAATGAAGCAGTATAGCATGATATATTCTAAAGAAATGGAATAATCGAGTCAATGAATCAAATTACTGGTTGACAATTCAAATTCAAATTTCCTTTTTCACGTTGAAATAAACAAAATATTTTAACAGCTGAAAACACTTTGCCGAGAAAACCAAAATAAAATGGCCAAAATTCCAGCTGAGATAATTTATTTAACGTGTAAGGGGCTGATCTAAAACCAAAGTCATTAAAATAACCCTAATTTTTTAAAATTATTTAGAAGAGTAAATTAAGCACTAAATAACCTTTAACGATGCATTAAAAAGCTCTCAATACAACAGGTTTCCTAGTCAGACCAAGTGGAGAAAGCTTCCTAGACAATCCCACCACTTTCTCTTACATGGAGTAATACAGTGGCCGATGCAAATCACTACTTAAACCTAGGGGTGTCTATAAAAACCAAAAAAACCAAACCGAATCGAGAAAATCGAATCAGAAAATGTGGTTAATTAAATTGATCGATTTGGTTTTCGGTTAACTTTGAAAAAAACCGGCGGTTAATTCAATCGATTGGTATATGTATTTATATGTATATTTTATATATATTTTTAATATATATCACATTTTCTATATATTATATATAAAAATATATGCATTATATATAAATATATACATATATTATATTTATAATAATCTATTTATAAATATATTATATATATTATACATTTTTTATAATATTTATAATATATTATCTATCATTTCTATTTATAATATAATATACATATATTTATGTAATAGATATTATAAATATTTAAAACTGAAAAACCGGTAAGACCGATTTGGCTTGAAAAAATCGCCCATGGTTCGGTTAACCAAACCGTGGACACCCCTACTTAAACCCATCTCTTTATTGAAGATGTACTCAATTAGTAAGTGTGTATGAGCTTTTTACGTGACAAGTTTTAATGATGGTGATGATAATAGTAAATAATATGTTCTAAGATTTTTTTTTAATTTTTCTTATATTTCTATGGCTATAAGAGTTATTTTTATTTCTTACACTTATTTTTGTTTAACATGAGGAATATATAATACTAAAGATGCATCCAATTGTTTTTTACAATTTTTTTTTGTAGTTTATACTTTTGTGTGTTTTTATCTTTTTAAAATTTATCATTATTTAATTGTGACATCAAGGGTTGATACATTTGACTCAAAAGGTTGAATTATTGACTCTCCACCAAACAGAAAAAATTCCTTTTTGGGTTGGTTTTAAATTTCTATTTTATTTATATCATCAATAGAAACAATTATTCTTTGTCACACTTATTTTCTTTTAATATGGTTAATTAATATGGAATTCAATAAAAGAATAGGAATTGATACCTAAACGCAAGACTTGATGAGAAGGAATTGAACGATGAGAAATATAGTTGTTCAAATTATATTTTGTGTCCTCACAATTGCAGAGATACCAAATTAAAAAATATGGGTATTCTAGTCCAGAAAATGATTTCAATGAATATCAATGGAAGTTAATACTTTAAACATAATGAGATGAATTTAAATGAGGAGAAAAATTGTTCATATTATATATATGTCTTTACAATTAGAGATGCACCTAATTCAAAAATTGATGTATTTTAGTCAAACAAAATATATCAATTAGAGATATTATATATATGTCCTTACAATTAGAGATGCACCTATTAGTATATATTAATAATAGTCTTTGGAATTCTCAGTTATTTTTTTCTAAGATTCTATAATAAAATAGCTTTTATTGAAAATGCGATAAGGTGTTTTGGGCCTAAATTTATTCCATGAATATAGGGTTGGAGGAGGAATTTACATACCCTTTTAATTTTACATGGGAGTAGAGCTATAGGAGTGCAACTTGGGTCGGATTGGGTTGGGTATTTGTTAAGCTTTTAATGGGCTCAAATTTTAATCCAAAGCCCAATGAAATTGAAATTCTCTACTGGTTGATGGAAAATAAGTGCCCATTTGGAAGGACTTGTGCATTGCTTGAGCAGCTTTGGAGAATTTACCTAAGAGATCATGTAAGCTTAATTTGGGCTTTTCAGTTTTTCTCCAAACATGGTTCAATGGCTTTCCGGGTTTTTCAGCTCATTTAATGCCAGAAACCACTGTGTAAAAGCTCTCTCAAAATGGATGGTAAATGGTGATGGAGTGGTCAGAACAAATCTGGTGTGGGGATCATCGGTAATGACTCTAATGGCCTTTCTGCAATTGATAGGGCCCTACCAATTCTAGTTTGCTCAGCATAAGAATCAAAGACAAGTGCTTTTCTGGAGGATCTGCCAATCTCAGTCAATCTCAGATCATGTTAGAAGGTTATACAAAAAGCAAAAGTTCATCTCCTATTGGAAGAAAATATTTTTCCTCCTTTTGATATCTTCATGATCGAACCGCCAGTTGTTGGAATCTAGTTCAATCTTTTCGTGCCACTTCATGATCCAATCATACCCCTTTACTTGGTCGATGAACCCTTCCTTCTAACCACTGTTTTCAACCTGTTGATCTTATAAAAAATCTCAATGTTTCCAAAACCGGATCGGATTGGACGGTTGGATTGGAAAAATCGAGAACCAGTTATTTGACCATTTCYGTTTTACCCCAAAACTGTTTTTTGGTCAAAATCGTTGATTTGGTCAGAAAACCACTGATCCGGATGGTTAAACTGTCAAACTGTTTTTTATTTATTTTTTACTTTTTTGTTAGAAAAGGCAAATCATTTGGACCGGGTGGTCAGACCATTCGACCCGGGAACTGGACCCCGGAACAGTTCCCTGTCCGGTCTGATTTTAAAAGCCTTGAAAAATCCTATTGTTGATCCAGGTAGTTAGGCCGGCACGTAACTGCTGACCCAGTCATTTCAACCTTTAATCCACAATGTAAAAAAACAAAGGGTAAATTGTGGAAACCTCCCCTAAAGTTTTTGGTTGTTGCTGAAACCTCCYCTCAAGTTTGGTAATTACAATTACCTCCTCTGAATTTTATAACATAGTTGTAAGTAGGTCCCCCTTTGTTGGAATTCTCTAAAAAGAAATATGAAAATATCAAAAATACCCATTTAGTTACTTTTGAATCAGTAGCCCAAACCCTTCCCATCTCTTTCCGAAATTGATTATTTTTCAAATCTGTCCATGTCAATCACTCAAAGGTAAAACTGTAATTTTAAATACACTTCCCTTTTATTGTTTATAAAGTTTGTATTTAATTTTTTAAATACACTTCTTTTTTTTTTTTGCCTCTTCTAAGAGGATTTTAAAAGAAAGGGTCTATTTGCAACTGTGTCATAAAATTCATGAGAGGTGATTGCAATTACAAAACTTCATAAAGATTTCAGCAATGATCAAAAAGTTGAGGAGATTTCAGCAATTTGATGTTAATCAGTTTAATGACCCACCAATCCAAATAATTGAACCGTTGACCCAATTGACCCATTCAGTGGGTTATCAATTACTTATATTATTCTTTTTTGTTTTCAAAATATTTTTACATTGATGATATCATGGTTTGACCCAAATGGTTTAACCATTGACCTGTTGACTTAGGAGGAAAAATTGGTTCAACCTCCATCAGGGGGTTTAAGACAGTAGAACCTAATTCTGATTGCTAATCCCATCAAAAACCATTTTGCAAGCATCCAAGGAATATTTTCTTTTGCATTTCTTGGGTGCATCTCATACCTGAAAAATGCTTTTAGTCCTTGGAAGGAGGGAAAGATTCTTTCCCTTGGTAGATAATTAAGCCTAGTCTCCCATGTTTGAAATAATCTTAAATTTCACATGATATGGATCACATGGTCTTGTTTTCCATTGGCCCATGGTCCTCCCAACTCCTATCCTTATTAAGGACTATGGAGGCATGATAACTTATCTTTTTATTTGCTCCATTTTTCCTACTAAAATTATCAGAGAAAATAAGAAAGTCAAAAAAAAAAATTAAAAACTATGGCTATGTTTGGTTTATCCATAAGGTGAGAGGTTGAGAGAAAATTTTTAAAAACTTTCTTGAACCAAGAAAGAGAGAGGGAACTAGGACTGTGTTTTCTTGTTTTCAATTTTTTTACTTGTAAGTTATTATTTTCTTTCAAAACTATATGAAAACGCATGGAAATTGAGAGTGAAATGTAAAATATGTGGATTTTGTTTTTGGTAAATAAGTGGGTGGGATCCACTTACTACCATTCACTTGCCTACAAAAATGAAAAAACTGAAAAATGAAAGACTAAAAGATATCAAACAGAGACTGAAACCAAAGAAAGAAATCAAAGAAAATTAAAGCTTTTATTTTCTTAGAGATGTTTGATTGGCAAGAAAAGATAAAGAAATTAAGAATAAAAGTAGTTGCCAGTGGGTCCCATCCACCCATATTTTGCACTTTGCACTTTATTGCATTTTAGTGCTACAAGAAAAAAAAAAAAAACTGTTGTTCAAAGGAAACTATTGGACT